AACAAGGTTTCAGCACAGGAGATTAATAAAATAAATTGGAGAAAACTTGATAGATCAAGTAATATGTAATACATAGATTCTACTCTACGAAACTAATCCATGGGTAACATAAATAGAAAGGAAGAAATTAGGAAAAATTATAATTGATCCCCAGTGATGACAAATGAAATATATATAGATAGTAAATCAAAATAAAAATAAAAATTAATTATATAAGGAATCTTAGAATCTAAATTTGCGATAAAAATCCCTAGACCCAAGACTAAATAAAACCAGTCCAGGATTCACCATAATTATTAAAAATACCATAGAGAAACCAAGACCTATCGACTTAACAATAGATAAATCAAAATGTATCGTGTGTGCAATATCCTTTCTCTTATTTTGATAAGGATGAATACCTTGGTTTAAATACAAATAATCCAAGTATAAAATTCTACTAAACTTTATGAATTATAGATTGAACTGCATGTGTGTACTTGTGTGGGCATAGTCTTAGACTGAACTGAATGTGTATAAAAATTTGTTACTAAGTTGGATGGATTAACCACCTTTGTTGGTGTAGATGACAGTCTCCCCCAAATCCTTATTTTAATAAGTGTAATATTGTTCAACTATTGAAATTGTTGAAAGTGTGTTGATTAACACGAATGTGCATAAAGATGTGCTTGAATATAGAATCCTCAGAGAGGAGGAGAATGTTGAGTAAACTTGTTAAAGGAAAGACATGATAAAAATTAAATTTTCATGCATCATGACATTATGTAAAAGAAAGAATTGTCGAGGCTACAGTTGGCACCGCTGTAAGGCGCTTGTGTTAGGTTTATGGCAAACCTTAGGGGTGGTAAAGGGGGGATAACCCAATGGCACAGAGTAGCTCATTGTGACCAAGTCACGTCACCAGCAAACCCTTGCCAATCCTGATATGAACACCCGTTACCAGGGTTGTAGCAGGTCCATTCCTGAATGGAATGCCTTTGGCGTGTATTGTCGACAAAGTGATATATGATTTTAATATGCTTGGATGTGAAGTAGGGAATGGAGTCCTCCAACCACCTCTGGCGTTAAACAGTTATGATGATGATATTGTAAGTGATTGGGATCCCTGTGCATTACATCATGTGACTAAACAAGAGAGAAACTCATAAATGACCTGCATCATGCATCATCCTGCATACGTGACTGTTACTCAATGATGAATTGTTGAGATAGAAAGACTGTGAATGTACACCTTGAATTATTATATGGCTTGATTTGTTTTAATTGAGTATATGGACTCACACTCTTGTGTGTTTTGTGCATTTTTCCTTGGTTGTTTGTTTGTTGCATGTATGTGTGTGCAAATGGACTAAGACTTGATCAAAGTATGGATTCTAATATTAGTAAAGGACATATGGTTCTACAATCCAACCTTGCGATAGTGTGTCCTTTTTGTGTGTTGATGGCCTTGGGTCTAACTGGTTGAGTCGTCCTACAAGGGCCATGGTCGAACTCCTCGGAGCAACACACTACCTCTGTTTGGATTTCTTGTGATTACTGCCTCTGTATAAATATAGGGTGAGAACTACTCTTAGGGCTAAACAAAATTATCTATTTTGAGACATACTTTGTGTACCATAAGTGTTAGTCATTGTACCTACATCGAAACAAAGATTATTTCATATTAAGTGATAATAAAAATATGTTATGCACGTTAACTCTCTTATCTATCTCATGTAGTTTATCTACCTAAGCACGCATAGAGATGTTATATATTACCTCATGCATGAAGTTACAAGACACCCAAATGAGCCATTGGAGTTCATGTTTAGGAGCGTTACATATTCTCTTTTTCTTTCTCAGTATTTATCATTCTCATATTCTTTTTATTAATCAGCATGTCATAATACGTGAGTTACTATTTATATAAATTCATGGATCACAATATATATATTATGATACCCTTCAATGTGTCATAATATATATATATATATATATATATATATATATCGTAATCACCCTTCTCAAGTTATTTGACCCATGCATCTCATTCTTTCTCTTTCATACATCATATACTTTCAAAATCAATCAATACTTTAATTATTCATATAAATTTACTCAATTTGGATACATTTCAACTATCAAATCATATCTATACTTATTGTATCATGCCAATCTAACATAGATAGTTATCATACCATGCAATCAGTACAATATGTCAATCTAATACAGAAATTACCACAAATATCATACCATACACAAATATGGTAGGTGATGCAAAAGGGTGGCAATGGTATAAAAATGTCATCAATATACTAACTCTCTCAACCCCTCTTAGTAACAAGCCCCCATGATCACCAATCCACGCAACGAGCATTGATGTGTGAATTAGGTGATACATCCATATGTCCTTCTTTAAGGGCAGGACCCAGATTTTCAACAAGTCTCCACTCATCTGTAAATGGGATTGGTATGAATTTTTTACAAACGTAACTTTTTCTGTGATTCTAACGTTTTTCGGAATATTTATAGCATCTTTTTTTTATAAACCGGTTTTTTCAGATTTACTAAATTTGAATTTATTCAATTTATTTGAAAAAAGTGTTTCCAAACAAATTCTTGCCGATAATATAATAAATGTCTTATATGATTGGTCATATAATCGTGGTTATATAGATGCCACTTTGATTCTCTATTAACCCAAAATTTTGGACTATTACTATGGTTAAAGTAAACAATTTGAAGTCTAGACGCAATGTAGTACTCTTTCTATTTGAACCCCCTTTACCTATAGGAATACATCTTGGATCTGCCGATTATGTTATGGCCAAAGTCCTACTCATGGCCACTTAGTGGAATTAGGAGAAGCCGTAGGTATTATTGCGGGTCAATCTATTGGAGAACCGGGTACTCAACTAACATTAAGAACTTTTCATACCGGTGGAGTATTCACAGGGGGTCCTGCAGAACATGTGCGAGCGCCTTCTAATGGAAAAATTAAATTCAATGAGGATTTGGTTCATCCTACACGTACACGTCATGGGCATCCTGCTTTTCTATGTTCTATAAACTTGTATGTAACTATTGAAAGTGACGATATTATACATAAATCACAACAACCAAAGAAAGAAAAGAAAAGGAAATACAACAAACACAAAGGGTGAGTCCATAACACATAATAACATACAAGTCATTCACATTACAATCCACACTCAAGTTCATAATCCACCACGTCACTAACAATCATTAGAGCCATACATAATGCAATGCATGGGGCCCCAAGTGTTAGGTTTTCTGAGCTCCCTTCCTGTGTGGAAAAAAGTGTAAATATGTTGGCCTATTATATCTTACTAAAATTAGTGAAAAGGGTTTAAATAGGGTATGAAAAAAAGAGAGGCTCTTTACAGCAAAGCATTGAGAAAGAAGAGAGAAAAAAAAATCTATTATTTTCGCACATCATCAAAGTGTTTTTTTTTATATTGCAACTGAGGTTTCATTCATCGTTGGATCGGGCTGATTTTTTTACAGCAGGTTTGTAACACTTGAATCTTTATTTTGTTTGGTTGAATTATTGAGAAAATATCTGGAGAAAGAGAAATAGATATCACAATTTTGTGCTCTATAATTTATTTATTTTTCATCTTGTATCTTCTTGTTTCTTATTTGTGAGCATTGATATTTTGTTTGTTTTAACTGTTTGTAAGCACGATTTTTGCACTTATTAGACACCTTCTTGTACTCTTATTGATCATATTGAATTATTTCTTTGGTTTGATCGAGATGTGATTTTTTACCTTTACCTTAAAGGGTTTTTATGTGTTAATATGTGTACTCTCAAAAACCCTCCATTACTCTTCCTTATGTCTCCCTAGTTGAGTTGTTAATTGTTAATTGTTTCTATATTCTTTGACTTTTGTGAGTCCTTAATCTTTTGAGACACCAAAAGAAAATCTTTTGCCTTTTTTCATACCTCCATTTTACTTTGTAACAGCGTTTGCTTCTTGTCATCTCTCTCCTAGCAACTCGCCTTTTTTGGGCATTTTATGTTTTCCTGTCATTATCTGAAAGTGATGAGTGCACACACCACTCTTGCTATACAAGTGTCACTCTTCCGTTGGTTCATTTGTCAAGGTAGTGTGGGACCTCCAGACTCGTCATGCCATAAAAAGAAACAAATGCAACTCGTAGGTGCATTCCAGTTTAATTGGGACGGGTTCCCAATCCTAGCACGTGAGGATGTGCCCAACAATACACAAGACATTTTCCTCTGGTCATCTAATTTACTTCGAGTGTACCTTTGGAGTACACTATATACCCTTTCTCTTCCTTACATCATTTTCACGCCTCCCCTTCCTTCATCAACGTGCATTATTCCCACTGTGCCAGGCAACGCTCTCAACATTCTTATACCTATCCATACAGTTCTGAAAATATTTTAAATACTCGTTAAAGTATGGGGATTTCTACCGCATTGCCCTTTCTTGGCCTTCATAAATACGAAAATAAAGTCCCTAACAAAATCCATTTTTAAAATGCTGACGGTTTATTGGAATGGACAAACAATAATTAATATGGATCTATATTTTTATGATATATTTAAAAAAATTATAGCGAAATAGAAAAGGAAAGGAAAGAGAAGTTCTATATTTTCAAATTAAAATAGTTACGTAATATTTGTAAAAGGAAAAACACCATTAAACACTAAACTTGTACTAATTTTAGGTATTATTACTTTTTACTTTAAAAAATTATCAAATTAAAAGAAATTTTAATAGAAACAAGAAATCTTTCTCCCCTCTCTCTCCCTTTAAAATCTTACCCCATAGTCAATAAATAGGAACTAAAATTCTCTAATCAACGTAAAGCTGAACTAGACAAGCAGTGCAACGATCTGTGACAACTACGCACGTATTTGAACCGACGTTATATTTCCTTGAACGTGCGACTATTTGTTAGAAGCTACACTGAGTAGCTTATAAAATACTCAAAGCGTATTAAAACGCAAAATCAATCGCATGATAAGTCCAACATCTTCTCCAATAAATGAAAACAAAGGATAATATTTTTGGCAGAAAACATTAATCGTCAAACTTCTTCACAACGGTAAATTTAAGGGACAAATAACCAAAGAAGGTAAAAAAAAACATATATATATATATATATAAACCTCAGGAGGTGTAGCATAGACCAATAGTATAGAAGAATGGAAATTCTCCATCTGTTGTCCTTTTATATCAGCTCCGTAGTCTGTACCGTCAAATTAGTTAAAATCTCCCCTCAATTTGAATGAAGATTTGATAATATTAGCATCGTTTCCAGAGGAACAAAAAAGTTTTGCTAACCAATTCATCTGCAAGAAATAAAACCAAACAGTATCTCCGTCAATTTAAGAACTGTAACAAAGTCATTTAACATGATTTCACAATACTGCAGTTGTATTTCATTTTTCATTACTCTTTATCTCAACACCTAACAAATATGAAATTTAAATTCTCTCTTTTCCCTCAGATGCCAGAGTAGAATGAGGTAATGCTAGGACAAGATTATACAAGAGTTCAGAACATGCACTGAAATAGAGAAAGAGACAGACTTTAACCATTTTCTTTGAAAACCGAGTTTGGATAAACGAATTGATAAAAACTTATAAGAAAGAAACTAAAAGGTAAATGAATTAAATTTTTCTTACAAGTTATAATCAGCTTATGCACTTCATCTATTTTAAAAACTCTCCCATTTAACTTCTCCAAGACCTGGGTTGCTTGATTTTAACTTTTATGGGAAATTTGATTGATTCATTTTAACACATTATTTCTTCTCTTAAAAGTACTCAATAAGAAGATTATCTCAACGGATCCTAGGCTTAACTGTAACAATATAATTATGGACAAACTGAATCTTCACCTTTGCCTAAAGATTACATTATGCTTATGCTTTACTACTCAATCTTCATGCTCATCTTCATCTTCTGAATCTGCATAAAGAAAATATGCAGCAGTTGGCAGCAAGATAAAAAGTTAAGAAATTTCACATTAAGCATGCTATACACAATAAATAAACTTTTGACATACACAAGCCATTACTGCAACTACCTGATTGATTATTCATAAAACAATTAATTTCTAATTCTATGCTAATACATCAAAATGATTGTGTCACAACAAATGTCCAGTCATCATATTATTTAGCCAATTAATAACTTCAGTATCCCCCATTGTGTGATGGAATTAAAAGGAAAAGACTATAAACTAAGCAAAAGTTGCCAACACTTCTAATCCAGATTTCATGTTGTGTAGATAATAACTCAAGCCAGGACTAATTTCTACAATTGCAATATTTTAATTGCTTTTATTTTTCTATTTACATGTAGTGAGTCGACAATAGGGAACAAACTTCTCAGAAGGTTGCTCAGTCAATCAAAAGTTTATACCAAGAAACCATACACAGAACAGATCTTTCAACTTACCAGATCGAACATCTTCACTAACTTTCCCTCTCGCTTTGACTTGTTTAACAAGCATCCGAAATATCAACACCCACCAATAAATATGCATAACAAGCAAGCAGTATAGAAGACTATTGAACACATAATAGTATATTGGACCATCAACTCGGTGCTTTTCCTTATCTAAGGTGAGTAGAACTTCATAGCTGGCAAAAAGAGAAGAGATTAAAACAATTGAATAAAGGAATGCAATGACATATGAACTATGAACAAAGGACCGCTCTCATAGTACTGCTTAAACTAAATTGTTAAAATCTTTTATCAAGATAAAACAAGATTTCTTTTATTGTTCTTATAATAAGATTGCAGCAAGATTTACTTGGAAGATAGAAACTTACCCCCAACTCAGCCAAGACAGCTAAAGATCTCCTCAATGGGAATACTAAATGTTATTGGATGAATTCTATATAAATTATAAAATCAATTAAAGCATTGAAAACTAATAACCCCAAGTAATAACATACAAGAAAAATGGATAATGGATCGTCAGAAACAGCTAAGCATGAAATACTTTTTTTTTTTTTGGGTCGGAAGCATGAAATACATTGATTGACATTTTTTTCAGAATAACTATTGTGAAAATATCTACAAATCTCTAACACAATAACTTTTGGCCACAAAGAAAACCTGCATTATATGAAAAATCCATCTTTAAGATTATGGGAACAACCAAACAGACTAACTGAGAAGGCCAATATAAAAAAATCTTTATGCCATTTATAGTTAAATTTGAAAATGCTAAAGACAAGTAGACAACTATAGCACATATAGGGGGGAAAGAATAAAAACAACAATTCAATGATCCAGAGGTAAATCTAGCGATGCAGACGGATATGACATTTATTTTCAGAATCTCCATGAGTGCCAAAAACTGGCAAAGCCTCAGGAGAATATAAGTAACCATAACAATAAAAATGGCTTATTTTTTCTAAAATAGAACCCAAATCTATTTTCTGTTCTTCCTAATTGTACAGCAATTGATTAATGTCAACTAAGTAATTTTGCATTATAGCATTACATGCATGTGCTGTTGTTCCCAAATGCATAATCTAAACCATTGAAAAGCAGACAAGCACTTAATTTGTGACAAAGGCACCAGCATAGATGGAAAGATAAAAGTGTGAGAGACAAAAACAAAAGAAATAGAAAAGGAAAATTAATGGGATAAAAATACTAAACTAGTACAGCTTCTATTTGGTTAAAAATGTGCAAACTATATTTCCATAAAAGATGACAACTTTTTTAATCTGAAGGGCAATAGGGGGACATCATCCTTTCAGTATTTTTGAGGTACTTCATATTGTTATTCACCAAGATATGAACCCACATAATAGACAGGTGAGGATCAGAAAATTTAACAGCAAGGAAAAATAATGTAAATTGGGAATCAAACTAATACAAACCTTGTACTCCAAAGAATCCAGAATGGGTAGTAAATGAGGCGCAATATGATCCAAGATAAAACAAATAGAATAAAAGCAAAGCTAGCCATTGTTTCAGCACCACTGTATTTGGACATTTTCCCTACCTCCAGAAACACATCACTAGCATCATGAAGTGCTAAAACAACTGATCCAACACGAGCAAACCTGAATGTGTCATAGAAGAGAAAGACATATCAAAGAGAAATATGCTAAAATAAAATAGAATTAGCATGCAAATAGTTCCCCAATTCTATCTCTCTCTCTCTCTCTCTCTCGCTCTCTATCTCTCTCACTCACTCTCTCTAGTGTGTGTATGTAGTTAAAAAGGTTGCCTGAAAAATGTATTTTACCTTTTGTTTTCCATTAAGGCCCAGTAAGTTAATAAGATTAATTAGTCAAATGAAATGCATGAAACAGTTGACAAATTTACATGTTCTGATAAGGAGCTTGATTGAAGTAAATTCAGACAAATTAAACAGTAATAATATCGACAAAAATCATTAAACTTGACAAAAAATCTTGGAGACGAGGACAAACAAAAGTCAATGAAAGCATACCTAAAAATGTAAGACAGAACAATGAGAATTACAGTAGCAACATGATGACTCATGGACACCCCAAAATCAGAGCGCCTTGTTTCCCAAAATATCAAAGCAAAAATGGAGTACGAGTAAAAGCCAGCAGCATACATATAAACTGCCTTCAATTTCAACCTGAAACGTGAAAAGGTTATAAAATCGTCTAAAGGACAAATGAGTACAACAATAATAGGTTATAGATGGTATCTGAATAAGCAAAATAAGAAGAAAGAATCTTACTTAATCTTTTGATCTGGCCAGACCTGGGTTCCTGGTCCCACCCAAAAATTTCTAGTATTCGTAAACCAAGGTTCATCATAAGTAACAGAGAGAGCAAGAATCTCAGCTGAAAGATAATAAACACATTTCCAGGCCGATTCCTTAAATTTGTTAATCTTTTTTCTTCTCTCATCGGTCTGGTAGTCCAGCGTCTCATGCCCCTTTCCGAAAATCAATCGTCGAGCCACTTTCTGTAAAATTAGAAAAAGAAAAGAGAATGACCACAACAATCGATAGGATGAAAATAGTAAAAAACTGCTTTAAGGCGCAAACCTCAAATACGAAGCGATCAAGAAAGAAGCGAACGGAGGGGAAGAAGAGAGCGAAGAAGGGGAGAAGGTAGAAATCGTGATAGGCAGGATAAGATTCATTGTGCCAGACAAAGGAGAAGGAGGTGATCGTCATGGGAATGGAAGGCACAACACAACACAACACTCTCAAACTCAACGAGGATCCAATCGAATCCAACTGAATCGAAAAGCCCCTAATTTTTTGGTCTCCATTCTATTTTGTTCCTATCATTAGCTTAGCCTCTATAGTTTGACCAAATTGCCCTCTCTGCTCCTCCAACTTGACAGAGATTCAGATTCGAGAAAGGGACAGCGGAGAGAACAGTACACTTACCTTCTGCTTCTAACTTCCCTGTCCCTCCCCTAACCATTAATCATACCTCACCTTAGTCACACACATCTTATGTTATGTTGTAAGCTTTTTTTTAATTGAAAATTATCACACATATCTTAATTTAAATTATTGAAAATAAGTGTGATAATTACACCTAAAATTTACATCCAGTGGATCATGCGTTACCCTAACCAATATTAGATGGGTCAATGCCCCTCTCCTCCTTCTTCTCCCTTTTTCCTTTGCCTTCTTGATTTTCATTTTCTTTATTCTCTATCTTTATTACTGTATCGCTGTCGCTGTTAATATCGTACGTTATAATTAGTGTCATATCCTTCCATTGTTTTTGTTGCCGTTGCTCTTGTGCTACCGCTATTTCCTTCAATGTCACTTTTGTGCAACAATCCATCTTTCCAACTTTTTTAATTTTTAAAGAGATTAGTGTTATTAATTTATTATTATTATTAAAATTTTTAATAATGTGATCTAAGTGAATATTTTTATAGTTATTAATTGTGTGTCTGAATTTATTTATTTTGTATTTAAATTTAATTGTTGTAGAAAGGAACAGATTTCTTTTGTAATTATGTTGTTATCTAGATTTATTTATTTTGTATTTAAATGTAATTGTTGTAGAAATGAAATAATAATTTTTGTATATAGAAAAAATATTAATAAGCAATATAAAAATAATCTATTACTAGTTTTGATTGGTAAATTTAATAATATGATGATTAATAGATTTGTAGATTAATAATAATTATATTTCATATTGATTATAAATTATAAATACAAATTCATTATCATGAGGGTTGAGAAGATCAATTTTTTATATAAAATTTATATTTTAAAATTTTTAATAATTGTAAAAAAGAAAACTAATATATATATAATTTTCAAATTTGTCTTTACATTTGATTTAAAATATAAAAATATTAATTTTATGATTCAGTGAATAAATTCCTTTTATGAAGTTTTTTTCATAAAAATCTATGATTGGTATATAATTCTAGAATTTTTACTTTATAATAATTACTTTAAATAAATCATTACTAATTGAAAATTTTTAATTATTTGATAGTTTAAAAATATTTTGACGATCAGAAAAATTTTAATAATATAAAATTATTTGATAGATAAAAAAAAATATATGTATAAAATAACAATTATAAATTGTATATAATTTAGATAAGTCCTTTTTATTTTATAATTATATTAGTTTGTTCGGATGCAATTGATTAATAATAAATCATATAAAATCTTATAAGACTTATAAATAAATTATAAAATTTTGTAGTATTTATTAAAAATATAATTAAAAAAGATATTTTTGCACCAATAAAATAATTATAATGTAAGTTGAAGTATAATATAAAAACTTTAGTATTATTAGTGTTATTAGTTGTATTATTATAGGGAGTTATTTATATAATTAAATTTTATTTAATTATTATTATTTATTAAAAATTCTAAATAATGAAAAAATTATGATTAATAATTGTCATGAGATTATTAAATAATTTATTATATTTTTAATAATTATAAGTATTGTTGTATTTTAATGTTTGGAAATCATATAAATTTTTATTACATATAAGTGTTATTGTAATATATTAATTTAAGTAATTATTAGTATTTTACATAGACACGAACTATTGATATAATTTTTTGACATTACATTAAATATTATTGTTATTTTGATTAATTAATTAATTATAGTTAAATTTTTTTGCTAATAATTTCATCTTTTAAGTAAAGAGGAGTCATTAATCTTGAACCAAAGGATACTTCACGGTTGGCTATTGCATTGCGCTTTTAGAGCATTTATGTATTTGATCACATTTGAAATGGTTGAGCTCACCATATTTTGAAGATTAAGAAGAGTCTGTTTATTTAAGATAGTTTAGAAGGTGAACCGATTGAGATACTTCCCCATTTAGAGCTTGTTAGATTTGTTAGAATTGCATAGTTGTCTTAATTCTCACTAGACCTCTTGTTGATCACTGCACTAGTGAAGAGATGGAAGACAAAGACTACACATTTAACCCCCCTCTTAAAGAATGTACAATCACTTTACAAGACCTTTCCATTCTTTTGGGGTTATAGATTGATGGAAGAGTAGTAATAGCCGCTACTAGAGGTGACTAGGCACAAAAATATTGAGGATAGTCTTGGGATTTAGCATGATGCTCTTGTAGGTAGCTTCTTAAAGATGAGTTGGTTAGAACAACATTTTGTCCAAATCATGATACATGATCACAGTCCTATCTAGATAACTCGTTTTGCCAAAGCTTGCATATTATGGTTTATATGAGGGTTTATGTTGAGCCACCACTTCAGCGGTAAGGTTTCAATGAGGTACTTACTTCTACTTTAGGATTTTGTTGTTACCAATCAATATAGTTGAATGTCAGTAGTTTTGAAAGTTTTGTATCGAGAACTCTACATAGCCACCAACATTGGTCAGACTTGTATGGGAGGTCTTGCTACATTAGTTGTCATGTGGGCATGGAATAGGTTCTCCTGGTAGTCACATACACACATAAGGCCATCTTTTGTATATTGCAAGGTATTACATGCATTTGACTTTGTGATGAGGACATGACCATAAGTAAGGGCAAGGATCCACTTGAAGGACTTGGAGGACCTATGACAAGGGCTAGAGCCAGGAAAGCAAAGGAAGCTCTTCAACAAGTGTTGTCCATATTAATTGAATACAAGCCCAAGTTTTAAGGAGAAAAGACCAAGGTTGTGAATTGCATCATGACCCAAATGGAGGAGGACTAATGTGCCACTTTGCTTCAGTTTTTAAGTATTTAGTTTGTTTTAAATAATGACTCAATCCTTTGTAAAGTTGGCTGACCAAATTATGTTTTGGGTTAATCAACTAATGGGCTTTAGTTTGATTTTATTTCAAGTTGTAATAAGGGCCCAATTGGCAACTTAGGCATCAGCCTTTAGGAGATCAAGAAGGCACATATCTGGTGGCTTTTGGGTGACTTTTGGTTGCCACAATTTCAGTTACAATCAGCCATTAAGTAGTCTTCATTTCCCTAGGTTAGTGGATCATTATTAGTTTAAGTGGAATGTCTTTTCCTTTACTGAATCTTTGTAATTCTAATGGTAAAGCTTCTATATAAATTGAACCATTTTTATCAATAAAGCAAGTTGAGTTTTATTTAGATATATCAGAGTTTATCTCTTTTATATTAGTGAGAGTGATTCTCCTAAGTTCTTGAGTGATTTAAGAACACCTTAGCTGTATCAAAGGACTTTCACACCCCTTTGTGTGTTGCCTTCCTTCCAAAGAGTGATTCTTTCATTCCACCATTCATATTCACCACCAAAATTCTAGAAAACTCAGTTTTGCCTAGAATTATCTTGTAGTCATAACTCTCATTCTACTCACCCAAATTGAGTGATTCTTGAGCCTAAATTGAAGTTCAGAACAAGAACTTTCACTTCATTTTGGAATCACCTCAATTGGATTTCTATAACTTGAGATATTGTTGTTTCTAAAATTCTATCCAGCCACCACCAAACCAGCATTTTTGCTTCCTTTTTCATTCATTTTAACACCAAGAACCAACATCTAATTTGCCCAAAAATTCATCACTAAATTTTCTAATTTTCCTATAAGGTTCTAACCCTAAAGATCCTAAGTCAACCCTTGTGCAAATGGGATTCATATCACTTTGCATTGGTTAGTTAATATACTATGATTTACCATTTCTTTTCTCATATATAATAGTTATTTTGTAACATTTTTTGTAGGTGGTTATCAAATCAGGGTTATAAGAAGGGAAAGAAGGACTTTTATTATTATAGATATAATTTTGATCACTTAAGTTGTAAGGAAGTATTATTTTAATTTTTAGTATGTATAATGTTATTATTATTATAATTTATGTTTGTTATTCATTTTAATACTGATAAGGGTTAATATTTTTGATAAAATGTAGATTGAATGGCAACTATATACAATTCAATTGATCAATTTGTTACTTGCAATATGTCGTGAAAATATAAATTTGTGGAGGGTTATCCAGTCACTTATATGTTTCTAAGTGTGTGAGTGGCACTAACCTGATCGAGTCATGTGCCAGTTTGATATAGTTCAACATACACCTTGTGTTTCATATTAGCTAAATGCACTACATGACTTGACACTTTGAGGAAAGACATTAGAGAATTAGTAGGACAAGCTTAAGGATGTATTGTAGATCTAAGAGAGTAGGAGAGACTTTGTAACACTCTCAATTTTATTGCCTTTGTTTTTATAAAAGAGGAATTTAGTGCAGAGTTTCTCGCTCAAGCGAGACATAGTTTTCTAAAAGAAGGTGTTTTTTAGCACTCTCGCTTAAGTGAGACAAACTTTACTTAAGCGAGATAGGATAAAGTTGCCCCAACTGTCCTCTTGCTCAAACGAGAAGTGTAACGCCTCGAATTTTGTAATATTGTTTGACTATTGATATAAATGTATAGGTTGTTATTTGAATGTGTATTTGATGTACATGATGATGTGGATATATGTGTATACGTGTGATATATGTGGATACTAATTATGCATTAAGATTGGATGTGCAGAAACCAGAATGCAGTTTCTTCTGAGATTTTCACTGAAGCGAGAGATGGCTCGCTGTAGCAAGAGTGTTGCGACTCAGGGGTATTTGAGGGGTCTAAGATTTGAAAAATTCATTTCTCATTCCTTTCTTCGAAATCCCTTCGATTCTCTCGACTCAAAACCCTATTTCACTGATTAAATTGCCTCCAAAGTCGTTCGTGGGTTAGATTGAAGACTGGAATCGTGTTTGGAACGCTTGGAGGTGAGTTTTATGGGTTAGGGTTTCGATTTTTGTCCCTCTTCCTTGTTTTCTCAGTTTCTTATGGAGATTTTCCATGTGTTTAGGACAAAATTCGTGTGGGGAGCCTTTTCTTTGTTAATTTCATGCTGGGTCTTCAATTCGAGGTAAGGAGGACTCTACTTTATCTCATTTTGCTTAGAAATCCATTTATTTGTTATATGTTGTAATGTAGTTGAGAT